CTACTTTTTGTATACTCTGATATATATATAGACAGATACGAATTAGAGAAGAAGAGAAAAAAGGATAAAAAAGAGAGAGTCAAGAAGAAAATACATATTTAAGATAATATTAACCAATAAAAACTTCTCACATCATAATCAAACAGATCTTATTGAAACTTTGTTGCTATGATATTAATTGAAGAATGGATATCATAGCTTAGGAAAAGAAAACATTGTTTTTATAATCAGCTTATATATAGAAGACAAGTTTCTTTAAACATTTTATAAAGAATTAAAGTATCCGAACCACTATTATTCGTGTTCTCTAAGTAAGAGGACAATCAATAAATTCAGATTTACATTTTACAGTCACCGTTTTCAGAACAGTGCCAAATTTTGCAGATATTCTTGGATCATGCTGAACTGTATCTCAAAACATATAAATGGATGTCAAAAATGAAGCAATACCATGCATTTTTTCTCTTATCTATATACTTGTCTTTGTCCTATCCAATAGAAAACATTATATCTAAACAATTTTCTCTATTTTCAGAAGATCGAAACTTATTATCACTTCTACTGTGCGATTTCAGTGAGTTTGAAGAGAACTATTATTGAACATTTTGACTATCAAATCTGTAAACTTTACATAGTTTTTCAGAAAATGCTCATTTCCTCATTTTGCTTAGCTGGCACTCGCCGATGCATCAAAAAACATTATGCATATATGGTCATTTCAATTATCCTTTTTCTTATATATCAGTTTCATGACGATCCTGTTGTCATCAATAAGAAATCCGATTTACTACACATTACAGCGATGAAAAATGAGTTACTTTCAGTAGGACCGATGATCTATAAAGATCGTTCAAGAATATTCAATGAAAGATGTAATTATTCAAATTCAGCAGCTTACAACATCCTTGGCGATAGTCCTTCTGAATTGATACGCAAACATAGCAACCTCGATTTGGTTCTCCTTCTACTACAATCCAAATCAATGATGTATTGTGCTATTCCAAAAATAGCAACAAAAACTCTTCTTTCAGTCATGTTTTATGCCCATTTTCGTGATGTCAGCAATCATATCAATACTAATTGGTCAAATGTTGATATTAACATAACTCGAATAGAGAAATCTGTTGATATTTCTTTGCTTGTCAATGAACTTCGAAAGGTATGATGAACAAATATTAATAATATTGTCAACAATCTATATAAATCTCTCATTTTAGAATGGAATTGAGATCTCAAGAACAAAAGAACCAACTTCTCTCGCCTCATTGATTCACATGTATCTTAATCTTCTTCGATATGATAGCATAGATAATGTGTCTACTTCACAATTTGTAAATCCCTGGAGAGTCAATATAAAAAATATATTTCCCTATCTTCGTTTCAAATCTTTATCAAATCTGTCTTATATATTGTCTCCATCTTACACTCGAATTCTGTTCGTTCGGCATCCATTAGAACGTTTAGCATCAGCTTATAAAGAAAGAATCGCGACATTCGAAAAAGATAGAGTGTGGCCAGAACCTGAATATGATTTGCTTCGCAAGCGCATCTGTTTTCAATCTTTGCGGTCTAATGTGCTTCGTGGTCGTAGCAGATTGATGAAACGATATCGGTGCAATGGAGTGATTCCTTCATTTGAATATTTTCTTCGATTTATTCTTTCCAACACTGATCAACCCGATGCAATAGCTCTAATGGACTTTCATTGGCAACCGTATTCAACAATTTGTCAAGTCTGTAAATTGAAATATAATTTTATTGGGAAATATGAAACGTTCGATGAAGATTTCACATATTTACTAAAACGTCTCCATTTATCTGATTGGAATATTGAAAAGCAACGTAATGATTCATCAGCTCATAGTATATGGAAATATCAGCAGATGTATTTATCCTTACCAGACGAATTGATCTGTCAGCTCAAATATCTCTACGATGTTGATTTTCGTTTATTCAACTATCAATTCGAAGATTATATTAATCGACCCAATTTGGTTTGCTCGCCGCGTTTCAAAATAGAAAACCAGGATTGTTAATATGTCTGATTTTACATCTCTCTTCACTACACTGCATATAAAAATCATTTTCTTTGAAACAATGAAACATGCACGATAAACTGCAACTTATCCGAAATCTTTGATTATTGAGAAGAACATTTATCTTTGCAAATGTTTCATCAAAGGACTATGAAAGTGATGTGTAACAAATATTTTTCGTTTTTTTTTCTAATTAAAAGTATATGACACAAAACGATTTGCTTATATATAATATGATATCTTCGTCTAATAGTTGTCAAATGCTTGTTTTGTCTCTTGAGAATAAAAAAATATCTCCGATCATTTTCACTGAGCAAATATTGTCGATCAATATTTAATAAACTAGTGAAATCAAGTTGATTGTACACATATGCATATGTCAAATGATGTGAACGAAAAACTAAGACGCAAGAAATATCAATCTAACTTCACTAACATAACGATATGTACTGTTTAAATAAATGCTACACTGATATGTGTGAAAATGAGTGTTGATTCTATCGTGAAACATGATCTTCAGTTAATGTTAAAATATATAATCAAAGGATTAAGACACCTCCTCCACAAGACTGTTTTAAATGTGTCGTTGGTCTTTTGATTTTGCAGTAAACGATCATAACTCTGTTAATATTAGTGGTGTATCTAGAATTTTCCAAACACTGAACAAAATCCAAACAGAACTGTGTCGAAAATTGAGTATTTATGGATAGTTCAAATGCCTATCGAGTCATTTCATATGTATTTTAGGATTGAATTTAATTTTAAGCATCTTTTACAACATGAGAGAACACTATAAAGAAATAAATTATGAAAGCGTTCAGATTTTGCAAGTAGAAAGTGTCAATCAAACACGAAAAATATTTTGAAGCATAAATCGCCTAGAAAATGAAGGAGACTAACATTTTTTCATTCATACAAAGGTTTTTTTCTCAAGATTATAGCACATTTTCACAATGATGTGCAATGAAAATTTGTTCTTAACCTACAAACTATCTGATTTTGTAACGAAAGAGAATAAATGTATTACTCAAGAACATCAACAAGTGCCAGATGTATAAGAATAAATAGATGATATTGCAGATCAAATGCACTTTTCGAAACAGTTTTTAACAATTTGATTTTTATTAAATTCAGAAGATTACTAATTGTACAAAAATAAACTTAACATTTTTAACTACTATCTTCAGAAATTCATACCATTTTGCATATTTCTACATCAGAGATGCCAACCTTTTAGAATCTAATTCGAAGCTTCGAGGCGAAGAATCGATAATTCCATTGAACTTTATCAGCAATTCTTTCTTTGAGTAGTAAGTCCAAAGCAAAAGATCATGTGTATATTTCCCCACCAAAGGCTGCTACATTGTGAGATGATAACTTGGACAGCTATAATTCGTGAAGTGTTCACAAATCGATGCTGACCAACTTCTCATCAACTCATCCAACTACTAGTAGTTCAAAAAATTTGAGTGTCAAGATTTTTTATCTTACTGGTTCGAAGGAACATGGTAAATTGAGAAATGAAAATTTTTAGAGGGATGCCTCGGTCCTTCGTTGATCTTATGGATTGATCATCAAAACATTCATTTTTGTTTCGTAAGCTGTACAGTATCACCAGTGAATATTCTCTGCATGTCTACATTGAAGAATACATTCAAAGAGATTAAAATGGATGCACACAGTAAATCTTGATTTTGATCTCCATATAATGATATTTTTCTTTAAGATAATTTTCATAAAAGAAAAATTGATCCCAATTTTTTTCTGAGAATGTCGAAACTTTTCTGACAAAACACATCTTTTTGCCGTTAGTGTGACGTGTCACTTTCGTCAGCGACGTCGTGGAGTACGAATACACGATGGAGAAGATCTTCTCATAATCGAATAAAAAGTTTGGAACCAATTTCAAATGGTACAAATCGTTGCTCAGAGTCGCTGGATTACGATAAGACAACAGTTTTTGCCTTCACACTTAAGCCCCTAACCCCACCCATCAGAAAAGTCAATTTTCGTCAAAATTTCCGAAACTGAAATAAATGCACAAGAAGATAGTCCGTCTTCAATTCTTTCCGAAATAATATGTCTTTTTTTTCCAACACCTCTTCTTTGACTAAAAACTTTGATGATTTCTGTAATTAGTCGCTTAAAAAAAATTAAAAAATACGATTTTTTCTGGAAAAAATAGATTTTGAGGTTTTTGCTAGAAAAATAAGTAGTTTAATGGAGCGTAGAGATGCAATAAGGATGCCGAATGTTTTGCAAATCTCACGGATACCGAAATTTACGATTCGGTGAAACAAAATCGAGAAGAAATGGTCGATTTAGAAGAAGAAAAAGAAGCCGGAATTGCTCATGAATTGTTGCCACGTGTCTCTCACAAAGATGCGTTGATGCATCTTTCGATGGTTCGCACGTATTTGGAAGAGAATTATACAGAGTATAATTCATTTTATGATATCGAAGACATGATCGAAAAAAACGCTTTCATTAATCGTACTCAAAGTAAAATTACGGATTCCTTCAAGTAAATTTATGTATGCCTATGTACTACTTAATAAATGTTGACAGGAATCAATTTTTGCACTGTTTTACATATAGTTCGAATAAAGGAGCGGTCCGCATATAAGAGCCTCTTTTAGAGTTCCTGACAGCGCTCTTATAAGCGGATTCGACTGTAGAAGCAGTTTGTTTCTATTGCACATCAGCTAAAATAACATACGCAAATATAACATTCTCTATCTATTTTTCCCTGCCCGCTCAAAACAGACACTCATTACCCTTGTCCTCAATCGCAATGTAATAACTGACTATTCAATTACTCTCCTACTAATTCATTTATTTTACTGATTTTACAATAATTTGAAATACTGATCATTTAATGTATTTTACTGATTACGTAAATGGTAGCCTTTTATATTAAAACTGGCGGCAAAACGTCAACATATAAAAATGCAACCTTTGTATTCATATGTCACATGTCTCTATTGTAAACAGTGAGTTTTTGTAATAGAATGAAAGTAAGAATGAAATGAGTAAATAAAAAAACATATAGCAACAACGGACACGTTCGCTTCCATTTGTATTCGGATCGACCGCAATATTTAAATGTTCAAAACTAATATCAAATCCTTGTGTAGCATTATTGGGAGATGCACACATAATTCCAACCATCATTGCTCGTGATCTGTCTGTCACTGGTAAATAAGCCAATCTCATCATTTTAAAATCTCCATCTTCACCCTCAGCAAAGTCAATATGTACGGCTTCTTTTTCTCTTTTGGCTCGTAACTTTAAAACTTCAGGTGCCTTGATCGAAACTACACTCCAATCCGACCATCCATTGACCGTCACTACGACACTAGCAAATTGTTGACCATCAACGTATTCCACTCCACATTTAATCCAATTGTTCTCATCAGTACGTAGCATTAAACCACCTTGATCATAGAGTGTGTTATATTTTCCTCGTATATTAACGGCAACTGTAAACGATTTATCTCCATGCAGTGATTGATAGTAAAAATGACCATTGTCACGCTCAAAACCATAGTGTGTTTTGCGCCAAAAGTCAGTATTCCCGTCGGTATGAACATTTATATTAGTTTGATTAATGGACCATTTTTTCGGTTCATTATACCACGTGAAATTTATTCCAGATAAGAGAGCAGAGAAAACAACGATTTCTTGCATTACGACACTCGTTAGTGCGATACTTCATCTTCATGTCACAATAAGATCTTATTTTCTTTCGACTTCAAAGAACATAAAAAACGACATAGCATGTTCTTTATCTTTCAAGTATACCCGACTATTGGTGAATTTATTGAGCAAATAATACAAGATTAAATATCTCATTTGTGTGTGAGCAGCAATCGATATTTTGCATGCGGATGGATGGATTGACTGTTGCAGACAAGTAGATGATCCAACGAAATGTTCAAACATCACATACCCACACCTATCTGTAGATAGTCGTACGCATACTTCCACACCCTACATTCTAAAAAAAAATCCATGAAATAATACACCATTCAGAAGAGTTTATTAGCCTCGTTAACCTGACATCAAATTACCATAGACCTTTTTTTTAAATACATGTCATTTTCCTAAACTTTTGCACAATTATAAAAATAATAAATCCTTCAAGCATATATGAAAATAAATAATAAACCTTGAAACGTTTATTATCTTTATAGCCGTGCAAGAGTTTATGAGAGAAAAATGTATAACAAACCCTTGAAGAATTTATGAAAATTTGATGCAGAGTTTATTATTCGAATATATTTCCTTACAGTGCACATCAACCCACACCCACACCTGTTACCAATGACGCCATATATATCATTCTCTCCCTTTCTCTATCTTTCCAAATAAATAGTGATGCTATTGACAGGAGAAAACAGAAAGGCAGTCCGATATTAAATAAAGACGAAGAAATAATCACGAAATCTAGGATATTGTTACGACTATCACGCCCATATTCAACCTAGCTAATTTATCTCCTTCTTTATATAGTCATACATTTACTTCAATACTAAAACATGATATGTAATCGTATGGCAACATAATTACAAAATGACAATGATGACGTGCATTTGTTGTTGTTTATATGCAGTATGTCTAATAAAATAAAAGCAATAAATTATTTTAACATATTTCGTGTTTCTTTTTTATAAATCATTTAACATTCGTTTTTCGACCAAACAATTTTTATTCTTTTTTAACTTCTGCATCTTATAATTTGAGATATGAGAAAGATCGATTAAAATTATTTCCTAGAGCAGTAAAAAAACAAGCCGTCCCTAATGTCATACTCTTTGTACAAGTAAGTTATTTCATATAAATAATCAAACGATGAATTGATGACGACCTCTATAAATATCTAGACAAAGTTTAACAGGAGTCGGTACACAACACTAAAATATGTCGCATTTTATGATACATGGTTTACGTAGGAGCAGATTATAATTAGCAACGACACCACTTACTTTTCTGTGACACGTACAATATATCCTAAATCTACAAGATGTTCAGATATTTCGTACTGAAAGGTTTTGTACATATCTCTTACACAACTAAATCGATTTAATTCTCTTTTCTATAATATGATAATATATTCTTTCACACTTCATTTCATTTTATTTGGATGATAGCAAAGATTCCAAAATGATTTCCGTTATTGATTCTTTTTTTGAATTGAACCAAATATGTATATATGTCTTATACGTATAGGTTTGCACTCTGTGTTTATCTGTAGACGATTTAAGTGAAAGGAGACTTTATTTGTAAAAAACAAAACGATTTCTCAATTTTGCCGATATTTTTTAATATTAGTATGAAAAAGTAATGTAATTTCAATTATATCTTGCGAATCTTCTCCGTGTAGTTGTTGGACACATTGCACCTTGTATAGCTTCAGTGGAAGATGTTCAGCCATTATTTGATCTGTTGTTGTTAATTGTGGCATGAAACAGGTTGTTGCAGAGAGTGAGGCCACGAAAGTGGAGGTACATATTCTTTCTCTTTTATCCAATTATTCAAATTTATTCATTATTATCTAGTAAAACGAGCTAGATTTTTTAAATCTTTTACTATCTATATGAGACATGTTCTTATATATTCACCATCCACTCCCATCTCCTTCCGTCTATCTTAAGATCCTCGTGAGATCTTTGCTTACAGCAATCCGACTACTCGATAGTGACAAATTTTCACAAGAATCCTAATCTTCGTCAATTTAATCTTCTATAATTTTTTGAAGATCTTTCAGATTGTTGTCCATTTTTCACCATATATTTATTACTTAAAAGCATGAAAAAGCATCTCTAATACAATCTAAATCTGACGTTTTTATCCAAACTCGGCTTTCATTTTTCTTTTGGCAGCCATAGATAATTTAAATTAGGCCACTAACGAAACTGTTTCTAACCTAATGTTTATAGACACAAATATTGATTTGAAAATATACAAAATAAAACTTCAACCAACACTCTATAATATTATTTTAAAAAATACGTATATCTAAATTTCTTGAGCTGTTAAAGAGTTGTTTAAGTAAACCTTCTGCACCCACTTTCGGAACGCCCTGTATTGTTGAAATACAAGGACTATTCAAAAACGTTCCTAGACTGATGTTATTTAAAGCCAACAAGAAGCCATATTATATTACTATTGTTGTCTGTGTGTAGTTCATACAATCTTCGATCTATAGACATCATGATCTCTGATCGATTAAGCATTTATGTCCATATATGGCAATAATTTTTAGATCACTCTATACACACTTATAGGAAGCTTTAATATTTGAGTATACTTCAGTGATAAAGTTTCGAGCACTGAAAGACCAATTCCTATCTAATATTCATCAACGTATTATAGCAGTTTATGGTAATTGGCACTTCATCCCATACTACAGTTTCTGAATGAGATTGTAGTTTTAAAGTTGTACAATCAGTTATTGACGATGATCCTTAATGTGAATAACACGAAGATTGAAACGACCCGAAGCTTACTCATCTAAAAGCCTCAAATCGTAATTCAGCTTAAAGCGGATACTCTTAGTATTTTAAATGTATGGTACATGATCAATTACATGTGAATAAAGTCTGTTCAAAATGAAAATGACATTCGATATCACCTGAAAAACTATGCATCGTTCATATATCAATGCATACTTATTCATCTTTAAAGCGATAAGTTCGTTTAAAAACTATAGTGAATAATAGAGCATTATATCACTATCAGCTATCATCATACGTTGATAAATATAGGATGGAAATTCACCATCCATAACACAAATTTTTTCTCAAATTCTTTTTTTGTTTTGTTTTCTATCAGTGTATCTGAGGTGATCTAAATAGTATTGCTATATCTGGATATAAATGGTTAATCAATCAGAGATTATGTTGTTTATAGATTGATGACTGTATGAACTACACGCAGACAACAATATTGATGCAGCAATGCTCCTTGTTGGTTTTAAATAAGATCAGTCTTGGAAATTTTTAAACAAGCCTTGTAGAATTCGCTCTAAAATAAACAAAATTTGAAAGAAAGCTAAACATAAACTTTCGTAACAGACAAGAGTATATGAAAATCCATCTAAATACCTCAACGACGATTTCCATTTGAATTATTTCACATTCAATCAGAAACCCCAAAACCGACTACTTTCATCATAAAAGGTGTGCCAAGATGCTTGAAGAGGACAACTTTTCCATCTGAAAAACGTGCAGATTTTTTTCTGTAATAGTGTTGATGCATTTTATAGATAATAATGATATTCGTATGCATCATATATGTATAAAATATTGAAAGAAAACTTGTTGGACATTTTCCAAATGAAAAAGTTACTTTCTTCAAGCATCTTAATGCATCTTTTATAATGAAAGTAGCTGATTTTGTTGTTTTCTGACTGTATATGAAAATGTTCAAAGGAGAACCGCGTTTAAGGCACTTAAATTCATTTTTGAGAAATTTGTCTTCTGGGGTTCAACATATCGACAACAAGTTCTTTTAGAAAACTCAATATGAAATGAATTTTTGTAAACTGATTTTCATCCTTCTACAGTATACATTGGTACTACTATTACGGATTTTCGTGATCAA